AAATCTCCTGCCAGATGAGTCAGCCTCAGCAACAATCACCCACTGTTTTTCTACTAAGTACTTAGCTAATTATGAATTATTATTACTTTTTCTTTCTTATATTGACAACCACTGGTGTAACATTCTTAATCCAACAACCCTATATCCTATAGTCAATAGAGAGGTTTTCCACATTTATGTTTCTATAATTCCAGAAGTGTTCACGTCCAGAAAAATACTTCCGTGCACTTGGATTTTTCTTCCCAACTGTGTGGTAACCCACACTGCTGCTAGCACTTTGTGTTGTACCTGGATGAATGCTATGGGTGAATAAAGCAATCTATGTCAAACCTAAAAGAAGTAATTATACGTGACTATCTGAGATAGATACAGGGAGACATTTGGACTTGTTTTCTTACTTGGGCCTAGAAAATCCTGGTCATGGTTCTGTATTGTCTTCTCATTACCATTTTATATCATCCTTCTAGTTATACTCATTCGTCTTATAGTTGTTCAGTGTTTGTTTTCCAGAGTCTTAAATGCTACTGAGAAGCCATTGTTCTGACAGATCATTCAGTATATCATTTCATGATGAAAACAGATGGAATCATACTGATCAGTGTGGAACCTGAAAACCAGAAGTCTACAAATGAAACCACATCTTTTAGGGAAATCAGTGATAGTGGCAAAGATCTGGACATACCTTGATAATCTCTCTTGTAGCTTTGGCTAAATGAGGGCCAAAAGGAGAAACTGAGAATAAAAATATTCCCACAATTAAAGACCTAAATGTGAGACATGAAACCATAAAATCCTAGAAGAGAGCACAGGCAGCAATTTCTCTGACATTGGCCATAGCAATGTTTTTCTAGATATGTCTCCTCAGGCAAGGGAAATAAACTTTAAGCAAAAATTAACTATGGGATTATGCCAAAATAAAAAGCTTTTGCACTATAAAAGAAACCATCAACAAAACAGAAAGGCAACCTACAGAATGGGAGACAATAATTGCAAATGATACATATAATAAGGAGTTAATATCCAAGATACATAAAGAACTTATACAACTCAACACCAAAAAATCACATAATCCAATTAAAAAACGGGCAGAAGACATGAACAGACATTTCTCCAAAGAAGACATCCAGATGGCCAACAAACACATTAAAAGATGCTCAACATCACTAATCATTAGGGAAATGTAAATCGAAACCACAATGAGATATCATCTTACATCTGTCAGAATGGCTAAAATCAAAAACACAAGAAACAAGTGTTGATAAGGATGTAGAAAAAAAAGAACCCTCATGCACTCTTGGTGGGAATGCAAACTGGTACACCCACTGTGGAAAACAGCATGGAAGTTCCTCAAAAAATTAAAAATAGAATTACCATATGATCCAGTATTTCCACAACTGGGTATTTGCCCAAAGAATATGAAAACACTAATTCAAAAAGATATATGTGCCCTAATATTTATTGCAGCATTATTTACAATGGCCAAGATGTGGAAGCAACCCAAGTGTCCATCAACAGACAAATGGATAAAGAAGATGTGGGGTATATATATATATAAACATATATATGTATATATATATTATTACTATGGCTCTAGAGGGTATAATGCTAAGTGAAATAAGTCAGAGAAAGACAAATGCCATATGATTTCACTCATATGTGGAATTTAAGAAACAAAACAAAATACAAAAGGCAAAACAAACAAATAAACAGACCCTTAAATATAGAGAACAAACTGGTGGTTGCCAGAGGATAAGTGGATGGAGGATGGGTAAAATGGGTGAAGGGGATTAAGAGTACACTTATTATGATGAGCACTGAGTAATAGATAGAATTGTTGAATCACAATATTATACACCTGAAGCTAATATAACACTATGTTAACTACACTGGAATTAAAAAATTATAGTAATAAAAAAATTTAAATTAAAGAAAATATTTCCACAAACTTGAGAAAGGATTGACTGTTCTCAGGCCCGGTAACAAGAAGGCACCTAAACTGGTTTCAAGCCTGTTTAATTGATCAACAGTTTGCCTCATTGAACAGGCTTCTGCAAGCCAACCAATTAGTGTCAACCCTCACTTCTAAAGGTCAGCCAGAGATGGACTCACCTCCATCAACATGACTCTGAGTTAACCAATCAGCCAAGTAACCAAACTTCTGCAGATCATGTCAACAAGAGTTTTGCCTCTGAAAGTCCTCCCATTCCTGAACTCCATGCTTCCCCAAACTCCTATATAATATTAGTAGATTTCTCTGCTTAAAGAGAATGTGCCTGCCTGACATATATGTCCTCCCTTACTATAGGATGCAATAAATTCAGCTTTGTTTTTTCATTTCAGATATTGAGTGGTGGTCACCTCACCACTGACCAGTCCAGTCATGAAAACAGAAACCTCTCTGGGTATTTCAAACAAAGGTAAGATAATACAGGGAATTGCTTACAAAGCGTGGGAAGGACTGTGAAAACAAAAAAGGGATGGTGAAGTAGGCTAGGGATTAGTAACTCTGGATGAGGTAAAGTTTCTAAACTATTGATTAAGTGAAAGTATGTACTTAACTCATGACAAGCCCTCTTCCAGGCCCTGGGATGCAGCAAGGAACAACACAGATGAGATCCCAGCTTTTAGCGGGTCTACATCTAGATGGGGCTGGAGACAGTGAATGAGTTTAAAGCAAAAGATAAACGAGGTACAGGAAGGGAAGTAATGTGAAGATGATAGAACAGAGATGTGATAGATTGGGAAGGTCTGTCTTAGATGATGGTGATGATGCTGAGGCAGCTCAGGCCAACCCAGCTGGGCCTGGTGGGCAAAGCATCCCAGACAGAGGGAACAGCCACTGCTAGAGGCCTTGACCACTTGTCCTAGAATGACCACCATTACAATGCTGTGTCCCCAGCATTACTAGCTAACCCTTTGGAGAATTTTCTTTTTTTTTTTTCTTTAAAGTTGGAAACAAGGGGCACCTGGGGGCTCAGTCGGTTAAGTGTCTGACTCTAGATTTCAGCTCAGGTCAGGATCTCAGGGTCGTGAGATCAAGCCCGACATTGGGCTCCACACTGAAGGTGGAGCCTGCTTAAGATTCTCTCTCCCTCTCCCTCTGCGCTCCCCTACCGGGTCACGTGCTTGCTCTCTCTCTCTCTCCCTCTCTCAAAACTAAAGATAAAAAAAATAAATAAAAAATAAAGTTGGAAACAAGACAAAGTCCATAAAATATATCTATGACTCTGGCTGGATGACTTGTCAACTGTTGCCCTGCTAAGATACCATAAAAGAAAAAAGAAGAGAGGGGAAAACACCTTCTGTGGAGGAAAATACAGAACAGATGGCGATTACTTCATTCACCTTTGCATATGTGAGAAATGCTTGCGCAATTTCTAGGAACTGGGTGTTGCCAGAAGAAAAAATATATCTAAAAGCTAATTACTATCAATAACAGCATTAATAAGCCTAATCACACCTGGGGTGGTTGAGCTGGGATAGAAAACCCAGCTTATCACATACTTACAAACCCGTCACTTGCGGTAATCAGGGCTTGAAAAAGGGAGAGGGGCTGTTCAGAGCACGGCTCCTGCTACTATTTCTTAGTGGTTAAACTCCTGATTAGACTAATTTTTTTTTTAAAGGATTTGTTTATTTATTTGAGAGAGAGAGCAAATAGGGGGAAAGGGCAGAGGAAGAGGGAGAGAGAAACTCAAGCAGACTCACACTGAGTGCAGAGCCCAACTCGGTGCTCGATCTTAGGACCCTAAGATCATGACCTGAGCCAAAACCGAGAATTGTTGCTACCCAGGTACCCTGGGAAATGCTGCTTCATTTAAAAGCAGATGTAAAGATTTAAGGCAAGAGTAGGGAGGGCATTTAGGTGGGAATGATGAGTGAATTAGACCGAAGAGGCAGAGATTATAAATCAGGAGAGGTGGGTCATCCTCTGGTTCTGCTCTAACCGGGTGTGTGACTCCTGTGGGCCCAGGCTCCTCCATCTTTATAAATGGAGCACTGGATCAGAGTTGGTATCTACATGGACTTTTTAGCTGCTGAATCTTTTCTTTGAATGGAATCTTATGCAGAAGCCTAACAACAAAGCAAATTTTAAAGAGGAAATTACTGTGGTTGATGAAGATGTGATGGATCCAGAAACCCATTCACGTATTCACTCACTCATTTATTAATTTATACACTAATTGAAATCCTATTTTTGAAACGTTATTTATTTATTTAGAGAGGGGGCGAGAGGGAGGTGGGGGAGGGGCAGAGGGTAGGGGAGAGAGAGAATCTTAAACAGGCTCCATGCCCAGGGTGGAGCCCAACAGGGGACTCGGTCTCATGACCCTGAGATCATGACCTGAGTTGAAATCAGGAGTTGGACACTTCACCGACTGAGCCAGCCAGGTGCCCTGAAGTCCTATTTTTGAAATCCTATTATGGGCCAGGCAATGTTCTAACTGCCTGGGAAACATTAGTGAACAAAACAAATATCCCTGCTAGAAAATTTAATTTTCCAGCAAGGAGAGGCAGACGATAAACAATAAACATAGTAAATCAACAAACTATAGGATATGTCAGAAGGTGATACCTATAACAGAGAGAAGTAAAGTAAGCCGGAGGAAGGGGAGTCCAGAGAGCCCGACTGTTGTGGGGAAAACCGTAAGAGACAAGGAAGTCGGGAAAAGCCTCAGCAAAGATTTGAAAAAAGAGAAAACGGCCGAATAGATGTCTGGGAGAAGAGCATCCCAGGTAGGGGGGCAGCCTGAGCAAAGGCCCTGCGTGGAGACACACTTGCATGTCGGAGGAACAGCAAAGAGAGGGCGGCGGCAGGCGTGCGTGCACGGGGAGGAGAGCAGTGGGACAGGAGACTGCAGGCGTAATGGGGCTGGACTGTGCAAGCCACAGTCTGAGTATGGGCGCAGGAATTTGGCTTGCACGCTGGAGGAAATGGGGCGCCACTGCAGGGTTTTGAGCCAAGGAGTAGCCTGATGTGACTTCTGTTTTAACAGCCTCTCTCTAGCTGCTGTCTTGAGAACAGACTCGATGGTGAGGAGGACGGAAGCGAAGAGCCCAATGGGGGGCTATTGCCTCATTCACAGCGGAAATGAGGCGGCTCAGACCAGCGCAGTAGCAGCGGAGGGGTGAGAAATCTGTCTTAGGGTCCGGACATGGTTTCAAGGCCCCACCCCCTCAGCCTCCTCGGTGCTTCCAGAGTACCTCCTGGAATCCCTTGGTCTTCTGGGAGCACAGTTTGCACATCCATGGGCATCTTGCAAGTCTCCCTCCTGGCTCCCTCCTGGTCCCCATCTCCAAGGGATCTAGAGCACCAGTGTTTAGGGAGCTGCCTAGGGGATGGTGAGACCTGCTGAACCTAATTTTTTCCAGGCCCGAACATTTAAATTTTGGATAATGAGAACTATTTAGGCTGGCAAGTCATTATTAGAGTCTAGTCCAAGCCAACCTCCATGCCAGCAATTCCGCCTCTGAGGGCAGCCTCCGGTGCCTCACCGTAGGGAAGAACTCCTGTGAGGGATTCAAACAGTCAGTGGTCCCTGGTGGGCATGTTCCATCCCTCCTCCTCGGGGTGACAGAAAGGAACCAGCATCCATCTGGCACCTCACCTCTCAGACCCCTCCATAGACTGCCTCTGTGCTTTCGGCACTGTCCTATTTGTGAGAACTCCGTGGGTTACATTACATATAGCAAGTTCTCAAAGGAAACAGGTTGTGTCGATTTAAATTCATGCTGATAGCGCCACATAAAAACAATATCAGAAGCAGCAAAATTTCAAAGAGCTGCAGGCGAATGGATGTTTGTTTCTGTTCACTTTAGTTAGATTTTATTGGCAGCTTCTTGTGATATGATCTGAGGGGCACAGAAGGCTTACCTTGCCAAAATTGTCTGCCCTACAGGTTTCTATTGTTCCTGGAATTATCCAAATATAAGCCAGGATTGATCTGAAATCCCAAATGTGCTCAATTAGTAAAGGCTGTCTGGAGCAGTGTTGAGAAGAATAGAGAAGCTGGTCAGGTTCAACAACAAGAACTGTAATTGGTAAGTAATGACTGTCATGGGCACATGGTAAGGAGGTATTGCCCCATATTTTATCCCTGCTTTAAGCCTTTCTTTTACATGAAAAGGCCCCGTCTTCAAGACACCAGCTAAAATACAAACACGAACAGAAGAAGTTACCAGGAATGAAGCCAGGTGAACATTCATTCCAATATTACCTATGTTTTGAGGGGTAAGCTCCATTTCTCAACTATGTATCTTAATTCTTTTTTTTTTAAATATTTTATTTATTTGACAGAGAGAGAGGTAGCGAGAGCAGGAACACAAGCAGGGGGAGTGGGAGAGGGAGAAGCAGGCTTCCCGCCGAGCAGGGAGCCCGATGTGGGACTCGATTCCGGGACTCCGGGATCATGACCTGAGCCGAAGGCAGATGCTTAACGACTGAGCCACCCAGGTGCCCCTATGTATCTTAATTCTTAAGTTGAATATACCCCGCCTCAAATCTGCTTGGTTAGGAAATAATTGTTAAATGTAAAGCTGGTAACATTCAACCCAGCCGTTTTGTTCATTGCCTTTGGTATCATACCTTTCAGGAAAGTTACTTTTTGAGCACCCAGGACTCACAAGGCACAGTTTAGGTGCTTTCCATTTATTATCTCAAATCCTCACCTCAGTCCAGCAGAGCAGGTGTGATTTATTTCCATTTTACATAGAAGACTCCGGAATATCACACAGCTATGGATGGCAAATAAAGGTTCTGAACCCGGTTCTGTCCACTTGCAACACTTTGCTCTTTCTCTCTTTTAAAAATTTGGAATCAGCCCTGTAAGCTCCTGCACAGCCTCATGCAGAGGAAAATTACCCACTAATGGATATCTCCAGCTGCCAAATGATGAAGCTGTTCTTCTCAAAGATGATTCCAGTAGCTTAAGCCTGGTGATCTTTGTGATTTCACTAAGTAAAGCCCCAAGGGCAATTAACACTGATTCAATAAAGGCTGAAACCCTTACCAAATCATTTGTTTGCATCTCTTCAATAAAATGGAAATGTCAGCTGGACGTGACGTGCCTCATTCTGCTGGTGATATTTTGAAAGAGATGACTGTTTTCTCAGAGCTCACATTTCCTTTCCAGTCCCCTCCCTTGCTCACTCCTCTCCAGGCCGCCTCCTGTTGGGACAGTTGCTGGGAAACGTCAGGTTTCCAAAGGCTGAGCCATGAATGGGAAGTTTCCCAGAAAGTGTGCCTGATTTTCAGGTGTGCATTCTGATTTTTATAGGACAGCAACATTTAATTGAAGGCAGCCACTGACACAGATAATATGAATTTAGGGCATAAAAAGCAAAATTCCAAATGAGCATTCATGCCTTATGCACCTTTAATAATGCTTACAGGAGGGGACACAGAGTCAAAACATGGCAGGCTTCACCCATGAGCATTCAACCCATAAATGCCTACCGTGTGATCCCTACCACACCAGCCTCTTTAGAGGATGCCAGAGGAACCAAGGGACCCAATGTTCATAGAGTTTAAACTCTACCTGGGGAGGCAATGTGGAGAACATTGGGTTGATAATAGCTAACACATAGCAGTTTTTCACATGATACATCCTGCTCTAAATGCCTTACATAAATCAACATGTTTAATACTTGAAACAACATCAGGAGCTAAGTACTGTTTGTTGGTTTTTTTTTTAAGATCTTATTTATTTGAGAGAGAGAGCACAAGCAGGGCAGAGGGAGGGGGAGAAGCAGACTCCCCACTGAGCAGGGAGCCCGACATGGGGCTCCATCTCAGGACCCCAGGATCATGACCCGAGGAGAAGGCAGGTGCTTAACCAACTGAGCCACCCAGATGCCCCGCTAAATTACTGTTTTTATTCCCATTTTACAATGAGTAAAGGGAGGCTGGAGTCACACTGCTAGTAGGAGGCAAAGCTAGAATACGAACCCAGACCCTTAACCACACCTCTGTACTACCTCTCATGATAACCACTTGGTGAAGTGGCCACAAGCATAAATAAGGCTAGGACCTAGAGAATTCAATGTAGCATGTGTAATGCAGGAAGGCTTCAAAGAGGAGGCATGAATTCCTGTGTATGCATCTCTCTCACATTGGAAGCCTAGAAACCTGACTGAGGCTCTGAGGTCTGACTTCCTCAGCTTAAATCCCATGGCTCCTTCTTACTAGCTTCATGAACTTGGACACATTTCTTAACCTCTCTGTGCCTGTTTCCTCAACTGGTAAGTAGGGGTAGGGATTGAACCTGTAACATTCTAGAGGGGTTGTGAGAATAAAACATGACGGGGGTGGGGGGTGGGGAGGAGGCAAAGGCTTAACACATCATACAAGCTCAGTGAGTGTTCGCCATTATTGTTAGTCTTATTGTTTACAATTGATAAGAGGGCATAGATACCTGACACCTGACGCGGGCAAGGAGTGTGCACACGGGTATTGTCAGGCCGGGCAAGGACATGGGTCTTCAACAATGCCTGGCCGCAGCAACCACCATCTACGGTTCTGTTTCTCTCTCCATCTCTCCCTCTCCTGCTGTGATTAGGCTTCTTGCACGGAATGGAGAGAAGAGTGGGTGGAGGCGGTGACTCCTAACATTTCCAGCATGTGTCAGACTAGCCTAGTGACCCCAGAAGAAAGAAGAAGAACACAATTCCTAGCAAAGCTTCCGATGGGCCGGGATTAGTCATGTGACCCTCCCTGAGCCAATCACCGCGGGGAAGGTTCGGCTGCGGGCAGGGGAGCAAGAACCTAGAGCTCCGGGGAGGGGAGCTGTCCCACAAGAGAGCGCAGGGATGCGGAACAAGAACAACAGATGTTAGTCCTCCAACACCCACCCTTAGTATATAAAAATAAGTTTGCTTGGTCACACATGGGTACATAACTTTATTAATAACCAAATAACAGGGGCGCCTGGGTGGCTCAGTAGGTTAAGCGTCTGCCTTCGGCTCAGGTCATGACCCCGGGGTTCTGGGATCGAGCCCCGCATGGGGCTCCCTGCTCAGCGGGAAGCTTGCTTCTCCCTCTCCCTCTGCCTGCCGCTCTGCCTACTTGTGCTCTCTCTCCATCTCTGTTAAATAAATAAATAAATAAAAATCTTTAAATAAAAAGAAAAATAACCAAATAACGTTCTTTGTGATGAAAGAAAAGTTACCGTGTATATCAACCTAGAAGCTTAAAACCAAAAGCAACAAAAAGCAAAGAGGATATTCTCTCAATAAAAACCAAAAAAAACCCCACCAAATTTTAGGAGCACCTGGGTGGCTCAATTGTTAAGCATCTGCCTTCGGCTCAGGTCATGATCCCAGGGTCCTGGGATCGAGCCCCGCATGGGGCTCCCTGCTCAGCGGGAAGCTTGCTTCTCCCTCTCCCTCTGCCTGCCGCTCTGCCTACTTGTGCTCTCTCTCCATCTCTGTTAAATAAATAAATAAATAAAAATCTTTAAATAAAAAGAAAAATAACCAAATAACGTTCTTTGTGATGAAAGAAAAGTTACCGTGTATATCAACCTAGAAGCTTAAAACCAAAAGCAACAAAAAGCAAAGAGGATATTCTCTCAATAAAAACCAAAAAAAACCCCACCAAATTTTAGGAGCACCTGGGTGGCTCAGTAGGTTAAGCGTCTGCCTTCGGCTCAGGTCATGACCCCGGGGTTCTGGGATCGAGCCCCGCATGGGGCTCCCTGCTCAGCGGGAAGCTTGCTTCTCCCTCTCCCTCTGCCTGCCGCTCTGCCTACTTGTGCTCTCTCTCCATCTCTGTTAAATAAATAAATAAATAAAAATCTTTAAATAAAAAGAAAAATAACCAAATAACGTTCTTTGTGATGAAAGAAAAGTTACCGTGTATATCAACCTAGAAGCTTAAAACCAAAAGCAACAAAAAGCAAAGAGGATATTCTCTCAATAAAAACCAAAAAAAACCCCACCAAATTTTAGGAGCACCTGGGTGGCTCAATTGTTAAGCATCTGCCTTCGGCTCAGGTCATGATCCCAGGGTCCTGGAATCGAGCCCCGCATCGGGCTCCCTGCCCGGCAGGAAGCCTGCTTCTCCCTCTCCCACTCCCCCTGCTTGTGTTCCTGCTCTCGCTATGTCTCTCTCTGTCAAATAAATAAACAAAATCTTTAAAAATAAACAAATTTTAAAATATTAGATCATGGTTGATTTGATAACTTCCTCTTTTTCAGCTGCCTGGGTTTTTATTCAAAGGTATGGGAACTTGTTCGATTTTCTTGTCCTGCAGAGTTCCTTAAATAGTTTTAATTTGGGAAGAGAGAAAACGTTCTGCTATAGCTATAGTAATGCAAGTTGTCAAAAATAAAATTTGTAAAGAAAATGCTTCAAAAAAACCTTGCCCACATTTCATGGTTGCTGTGCTATCATGGCAAATTTACAGATCATTTCAATTTCTCTTTTTGATGATTTTGGGTAAAGTGGCAGTGGAACTGAGAATGATCTGCAAATGATTTGAAAATCTCTTCTATTTTTTGTTAAGGTTTTTATTTATTGACTCTGTAAGTATTTCTTGAGATTGTATTATGCTTTAGGAAATGCCCACAAGCCAACACTTCTAGTCCTGAGCTCCTATGATTTGCTGAGTAGCCCCTTGACATGAAGCACTGTTTGACACCTGACAGCAATCAGAAAAGATTTAAGCATATTGATAAGCCAAAGCAGTTGATACACATTATTTAAAATATAATCTTGGGGGGCGCCTGGGTGGCTCAGTTGGTTAAGTGTCTGACTTTGGCTCAGGTCATGATCACAGGGTCCTGGGATTGAGCCCTGCAATGGGCTTTCTGCTCAGCCAGGAGTCTGCTTCTCCCCCTCCTTCTGCCCTCCCTATTCATGCTCTCTTTCTCTCATTCTCTCACTCACTCTTTCTCAAATAAATAAATAAAATCTTAAAATATATATATATAATGTTGGGCACCTGGGTAGCTCAGTCGGTTGAGCGTTCTACTCTTGGTTTCAGCTTAGGTCGTGATCTCTGAGTCTTGGGATTGAGCCCCACATCAGGTTCCCCACTCAGCGGGGAATCTGCTTGAGATTCTCTTTCTCTCCCTCTGACCTTTCCCCCTCTTGAGTATGCTCTCTCTCAAATAAATTAACAAATCTTTCAAAATATATATATATATAATATAATCTTATCTCTTCAGTGGGAGGAAGGGTAGTCCCTGGGAGGAGAAACCAGGAGGGCTATAGGGTGCTTGCCCTGTTCCAGTTCTTGTCTTTTAATATTTAAAATAATCTTACAATAAAAATGACTATTTTTTCTTTTGGTGTACAGTTCTATGAATTTTAACACATGCGTAGATTTGTGTAACCATCACCAAAGCCAGGATTTGGGGGTTCTATCACCCAAAAAGCACCCTCATGCTAGCCTTTTACAGTTACAATTACAGTTACAGTTACCTCCTCCCCAACCCCTTTACCCCTGGCAATCGCTGGTCTGTTCTCCATGACTGTAGTTTTGTCTGTTTAAGAACATCACCTACAGGGGGCGCCTGGGTGGCTCAGTCGGTCTGCCTTTGGCTCAGGTCATGATCCTAGGGTCCTGGGATGGAGCCCTGCGTCAGGCTCCCTGCTCAGCAGGGAGCCTGCTTCTCCGTCTCCCTCTGCCTGCAGCTCCCCCTGCTTGTGCTCTCTCTCTCAAATAAATAAATAAATAAATAAATAAATAAATAAATAAATAAATAAATAAAATCTAAAAAAAAAATATCACGTACATTGAATCATACAGCATGTAACCTTTTGAGACTGGCTTCTTTTACTTCTCATCATGACTTTGAGATTCATCCAAGTTGTTGCATGTATTAATAGTTCTGTTTCATTACTGAGTAGTATTCCATTATGTGGATGTACCACCGC